CTTTGCTGTTCAGAGAGGCTGGTCCAATAGGTGGGGAGAGTCTGGAAGGAGGTCGGAGAGCCAGCCGTGCGGAGGCCGGAAGGACCAGCTTTTGTGTGTTTGCCAGTTTGCTGGTGTTTTAAGGGAAAGGGGAAGTAACAGCACAGTTTGTAAGTTGGTGGGAACAATTGGATGCAGACGAGGGGGTTGTGGGAGAAAGGGGGGGGAGGAGGAAAAAGGGTGTGGGGTCCCTGGGAGAGAGTCCCAGACGAGCCACTCACAGAAGCGGGAGAAGGTGAAGCATGTGGGCACTCGGGCAGGTGGGCAGGAGGAGGGAGGGGACGCTGGCTTTTGATTGTGTCTGTTTTCTATATGAAACAGGAAGCAAGGCCAGCCTCCGGGAGTAACCTCACCTCCAAGCTCAGTTCATCCTGGGGGCCATCCTGAGAAGTAGGCACCAACATCCCCCAATCGCTTGACGAGGAAACCCAGGCAGGCGCACAGAGGTTCCGTGACTTTTCCGCCGTCTCCCGGCCACAGGAGGTGGATCTCTGGATCCCTGATCCAGCACAGGTGACCCTAATGATCCCAGCACGTGGCCTCCATGACAAATGCATGAGAGGAAAGCCAGCCACTGTGTGCTGATTTTAACAGAAACACTTTCTTCTTGAAGAAGTCTTGGAAACCTATCTTCCTCTGTGCATATTTTTCAGGTCTCTGAAATTCTGCTCCCCATCCACTTTTATATCATGCATACATTAACAAAAGAATTTTTTTAGCATGAGAATATGGTTTTAACTGCTATCCGTACATGTTTTCGCTGGGAGCACTCAGCAGGGGACCTTGTCGGGTAGGGGACGTGCTGGCCCCTGGCCAGGGGGCCAGGGAAGGTGCCATTGTCCTCCAGACCTTGACTGTCACCAAGGACTGTCCTCAGGTATAGCCAAAGGAAACCAAAACCGGGACTGCGCCCTTTCTGGCAGGCTTTGAGAAGTGCTGATAACCCGTCACATGGGCTGCTTGTGCATCTGAGAAGCTAGCACCTCACGTGGTTGGGATTGTGGCAAAAATAAAGTAAAATTTTTAAAAAGGAAGCAAATATCATTTCCAAATTCAAGGCTGTAACTGATTACAAGTGCCTGGCTTGGAGAAAGCCCTTGCCAAATATTTGCTAAATGTTTATCTTAGATGAACACCAAGTTTTCCGTTTGATGGCAAGCCTTACAGTTCTACTAGGAAAATCTTTCTAAATCTTTTAAAAATTAAGCACAGATGTTTTTACACAACACAACCGACAATTTCATGCAAATCACGAGGTCAGTCTTATCGCAAGTACAATACACGGGCAGACCTCGTTTTAGTGCACTTTGCTTTACTGCACTTTGCAGACCTGCATTTTTTACAAGTTGAAGGCCCGCGGGAAGTCTGTCGGCGCCACTTTTCCAACAGCATTTGCTCACTTCATGTCTCCGTGGTACATTTTGGTAATCGTTTCAATATTTCAAGCTTTTTCATTATTATTATCTTTGTGATGGTGATCTGTGATCAGCGATCTTTAATGTTACTACTACGACTCACCGAAGGCTAAGATGAGGATTAGTATTTTTTATCAATAAATTATTTTTTAATTAAGGTATGCACATTTTTTTCTAGACCTAATGCTATTGCACACTTAACAGACTGCAGTGTGCTGTAAACATAACTTTTCTATGCACTGGGAAAAGAAAAAAATTGTGTGACCCGCTTTATTGCGGTGGTCTGGAACCAAACCCAAAATACCTCCGAGGTCTGCCTGGATGTATTACTATATTTAAATCCATACTACGCCCTTCAGTCTCTAAGAGGTGGTCCTCACTGCATAATCCTGCCCAGTAGAACACACTTACTTGTGCAATGAAACACAGAAGCATCTCTTTAAGTCAACATTTTCTAGCAATTCTAGCAATTCTCGCAAGAACAGAGAGTAAGTTCTGAATAGAAAGTTTCTAGCTAAATAAGTTACCAAGCAGCTGTACTCAAAACCTCTGAAAACACTGCAGTATCAATAGATGTCAGTGATGTATCTGGACTAATGATGAGCTAAAACACAAAAGTCCACACATTTAAGGCAACCACGCGCAAGATGAACTGAACGCCTTTTTCATCTCCCCAAGAAAACTTCAGCCACATTTGGATGCTGAGGAGGCATGTGGTCCCCATCCTGACGGTTCTACAAACTCCCTGTGTGACTTGGACAAGTCACTTCACCTCTGGGAGCCAGGCTTTCTTACACAAAGATATCCACCATCCTTTCAGAAATACAACCACCTCTCTTGTGTGGGGGGCAGTTTTACCCCATCACCTTCCAGAATGACAGAATCTCCAATTCTAAATGGAACTTCGAGAGAGAAACCAACGTGTATCCCGCTCCTGCTATGCGTTGGACGCTGTGGGGACTCATACTTCGAATCAAGGCCGTGATACTCAGGTATCACCCCCAACTTGGAGGAAAGAGGCCACCTCCCCACTGAGCTGGGTCCGCTGAACCCCTTGTAACTTATCTCTGCATCCCCAGTGCCTGGAACGTAGTAGGTGCTCAATGAATGTCTAATAAAACTCAGGGTCACTTGCCCAGGTGAGGGTTCAAACCTAGGTCCTTCTGCCTCCAGACTGAGCTCCGGCCCAGAGACTGTGAGGTGTGTCCCCCACCCCACCCCTGCCCCCGCTTCAGGCTAGAAATAGGTCTGGACCATTCCAGAAGGCCATTCCTGGTTTTATAAAATCAAGACTGCCCAGGTAGTAGGAGAGACACTCGTTAAGATGCTGACCACTCTTTGGGACTCACTCGGTGTTTTCTGTGATTACAGAGTATATCATTCAGGGGAAATGATGGACGGCTCAAATTTTCTACCCCCTGCCAGGCATCAGTGAAAGTTACTCAGATTTACAGAAAGTACTTTCCTTTGAAATCTGCCGCCAAGTGGACTCATTACCATTTACCAGAGCACTGAATCTGGTGACAGCCAGGCATCTTCTTTGGTTGGGGGCAAGCAAATGACCACTCCCAAGCTGAGGGGAGAGGTCACTTCCTTAGGTCAGGGCGGGACCTCTGTGGGTCACCCACCCGCCTCCCCTCATCGTGAGTCATTTTTAAGGGGCCCTGCGGGGCCTGGGAGAGTCTTGGTCTCCTGCGCTCTCGGTCATTAGTCTATTCTGCCACATAACTCAGTTTTCCTGTAGGCCACAGAGGGAAGCAGAAGAAACCACGTCGTCACGGGGCCCTGGCTTTGTAAAACAAGCGGCCCGGAAGACTGCAGAGGGCAGGGGTCCTCAGGAAGGAGAGGCCGCCTCTGCCGTGAGGGCCCCTCTGCCCCATACCCTCCTCCGGCCAGGCCCACCCTGGGTCCCCTCTCCAGCCCCGTTCGGTGGCTCCTACCTGCTCCCTGCACGGTGGACATGGCTGGCTTCAGTGAGATGCCCCTGGGCGGTGGGCGGGAGCCTGAGGACGGGGGGCCGGGAAGATTCCGCTGGCGCTCCAGCAGAAGATGGGCAGGGGCCGTCACGAATGGGTGATGGAGAAGGCCACGGGGGCGGGGCCGTCGCGGGAAGGGCCGGGCCTCTGGGGGGACAGAATGCTGGCTCACAATCCAAGATTCTCAGGTTCTGAGCCTGGAGTCCCGCCACTAGGAAGAGGCTCGAGGTGCCACCAACCAGATTTCACCTCTGGGAGCTGGGAGGGTTCCGTGAGAAGCACGTTTAAGAGCACTGCCCAGGGGATCCTTGATGAAAACCGTAACTTATGGTCTGTAGGGGCGGGAGAGCCACTCAGGTGACGACAAAATGTGACCGGCACCAAAGACAAAGGCCCAGCGTCAGGGTTTTTCCTGTGTCCCTAGAAAGTGTCAGCAGGTACTGGAGGGGTGGGGAATGTTGACACGAATAACCCCTGAAATTCCAGGAGCCAGGCCCCCCTCAAATGGGGCCACTGTTCATTCGTTTGCTTTCACGGGTTCCTCCCTTTACTTTCTGAGGACAAGTTCCTTCTGCAGTTTTGACAAAGACCCAAGGAAAGGGGAGTGGTGTCGTGCACCTCCGCCAGGAGGAGGGGGTACCCGGGGTCTGTGTGGGGAGCCGGTGGGCGGACCCTGGAGGCGTGCACTCTGTCCGGGGCATGTCCTGTGCTTCCTGGGCTGCCCGTACTTTCAGCTGCTGCAGGTGGAAAGCGGTAACAGGTGTGCTGTGTGGGAGGGTTCCCAGATGCTTACCACGAACCGCCTTGCCCAAGGAACCTGTTGGCAAACTGAGCTGTTACCTGCAGTTCACATCCTTGCAGCAAGCAGAGCTGGGTGCTGTAGCGTAAGCTTTGGTCTTTGGCGCTACCCACTACGTAACCCTTACCCCTTTCATTTAGGAGGAGTGGCCTTTAGTGAAAACAGGTCTCCTTCCTGTCTTCCTACCTGTAGCCCGTTGGAGGTGTAATCGTGTGGTCTTTCTTTTAAAGGCGACACAGCCTGCTTTTCCATCTCAGGGCTGCGGGTCCTGGCCTCTGTCACCTGCAGGCCTCCCATCTCTCCAGGTGCCCCTCACACCATGCCTGAGAGCCTCCACGCTCAGCACGCAGGTGCCAGGAGGCCAGGCAGTCTGGGGTCCGCTACTCCGTCTCCTTAGCCTGCTAAGGAGGAGCCCACTCGTGACTCAGTTTCCTCAACTGTAAAATGAGGCATTAATAGCACGTACTCATCCGATCTTTGTGAGAGGTCCAGGACACAGCACGCGGCACCAAGTGAGCAACCATCAGCCAAGTGTGGTTACTGCCTCTGAGCACTGGCTGCTGCCTGGGGCCCCTGCACAGGGCAGTGGCACATCAAGCATTGACATTCGGTGAGACCTGACCGTCCCCCTGCTGCCCCCCACCCAGCAATCTTGGTGAATGGTGTGGAGTGGATCTTGTCATCTTTCCTGTCAGTTACATGCATATGTAACAGACTAGGGTTGCCTTTTCCCCACGTGGGGACATGTTCTGTCTTGTGTAATTTGTTTTTTCCACTTGGAGATCTTTGCTCCTCCTCTGAGATACCCATGATCTCTGTCCTGTCTGATCGATATATGTCCCTGCTTGTTGGAAGGCCAGGTCCCCCAATTGGGATTCCATACCCAGATCCCTTTCACTTGCTGATGGGGTTCCCAATTGTCCCAGGAGCATCCACACTCCCTGCACTTTGTTTAATTCTCAATGTAACTCTCATGTCCAATAAACCAAATTTTACACATCTTTCTTTGTTTTGCACATCTAAACAACGATTACAAATACATTAAAGTAATTCTCTTAAACATTGTAACCTGCAGTTATAAATATGGCATGGTTGATTCTTTCGAATATTGCAAACACCTCAGACAGCAAATAAAGCCTATATTAATGTGATGACTACAAAACCAATTTCTTACTCCAAATATCGACATCATGGATTTAACTAACATCTTCATTATTTCCTTTATTTTTTTTTCAAATACCTTTTTCGGGTTACAGCTATCTTTACTTTGATATTCTTCCAGGATTGACGGCCCCAAAGAAGACGACTATCACCTCTAATCAGCCGAGTTAAGGCATTCTGGTTATAGATGGAGTAATTCCTGGATAGGGCTGGATCTAGACGGTTCTTCCCAAGGCCATCAGTTGAAAGTTGCTGTTTATAAGTAAATGCCATTTGCTACATCGATCAGATTTGAAAGCTCAAACCCTTCCCATAGGTTTTAATTCTTTGCTGCCCTGTGTTTCCCCTAAAACGATGCATTTGTAAAGTCTTGCTTGGTAATACAGTATTATGTAATCCATCTTTGGGTTTTTCTGATCAACTAACCTGGTCCTGTCATTATGAATTAGTGACTTATCTGTTAGCATTATTAAAGAGTTATGTGTGTCTTATTAGTATTGCATTAAAATTAGCAAGGCCATCTAGAAATTCCATCGCCCAGAAATGAAGGGTTGAATCTTCCTGGTTAAGTTTTCTCTTCAGGACACCTGGGGAGTGCAGGATCTGGGAACACCCTGCTGAGCCTGCCCGTTACCTGGCTTCTGTGTGTGAGTGCTGGGGCAGACCCCTCCTGGCTCTCATGAGCGACCACCAGTGTGGACACTTCCTGCTCTTTGGGAGCCACTAGCTTTGTCCCTTGGTCCATGCATTTACCGGTTTCTACTTACACAGACAGAAACAAATACACAGCATCACTTTATAATCGGGGGTGGGTGTGGACAGCATACCTATACATTAGCAGCCGCCCACTGTATTAGTTTTCTGTGCTACACAAGAGAGGACCACAGGTTTAGCAGCTGAAAAGAATGCCCATTAATTATCTCACAGTTTCCGTGGGCCAGGAGTCTGGGCTCAGCTTAGCTGGTCTTCTGCTCAGGGTCTCACAAGGCTGCTATCAAGGGGTCGACCGGGCTGCATTCTTACCTGGAGGTCTCAGTGAGGAGAATCCGCTGCCAGGCCCAATGCAAGGTGTTTACAGGATTCATTTCCTCGCAGCTGATGACTGAGGGTCCTGGCTTCTTGTTGGCTGCCCTGGGATCTAGAGGCTGCCCCCGGTCCCCGGAGGCTGTTCACAGCCTGGCTGTTTGCTTCTGCAAGGCCAGCAGGAGAAGAAATTTGCTAGCCTCAAAGAGCCAAGTCTCTCTTCAAAGGGCTTTTCCTTAATTAAGCCGAGCTCAACCAGGATAATCTTCATTTCGATTAACTCAGAATCAACTGATAGGGCACCTTAATTACACCTGCAAAATCCCTTTCTCTTTGCAGCGTTCTGCCAGCTAGAAGGATGTCACGGGTCAGCCCCCATTCAAGGGAGGGGGCTATATGGGGGGCAGAGATCTCAGGGGCCACTCCCCCCCATCTTCTGCGTTTACAACTACCTTTGTGCGCACATCATAGTAACGGTTCCCTTTGGAGTTTCACTATGAGCTTGTGGTTTTGCCGCAGACCCAGAGGCCGTCTCTCTCAAGGTGTCCTGCGCCGGGTCTCCCGCCACCTGGCCTCCCTGCTGGTCCCGGGCCTTTGCACTTGACGTTCCCTCTGTCCACTTCCCTCTCCCCTGAGGGAGCCACATCCTCGTTCCTTTACTGTATTCCAGCCTCTGCTAAACTGTCACCCCATCAGAGAAATCAGAAAACCGCTCAGAGAGGCAGCAGTGTAGGGGTCAGGAGCCAGGCTCTGAAGGGTGAACCCCAGCTGCCTCTGGACCCACCATGTGACCTCCCACCCTGAGCCCGAGGGTCATCCTTGGTCAAGTGCGGACGGGGGTCTGGGCTCTCATAGACCCCTGGCCCACATACACAGTTATCCAACTGACTCCTTTCTACCTGAGATGAAAGTGGCTCCTTGTGTGGGTTCAGGGCAAGCTCGCCTGCCTTCCTGGTGGTCAGAGGCCCTGGTTGGGGATCCCATGCTGCTCCTGACCCCTTGCTGGTCCCTTCCACTTTCTGGAGGAATTTCCTTTATGAAGTTTCCCTTAATTTGACTTCCTTCGGATCAGGAGACATTTATCTTAGGTAACCTATGGAAGCCTCTCGATACCTAAATCAGATTCATCCTCTCTCTCCACGACCTGCTGCCCCACCTCTCACCGTTCACTAGTATTTGTCAAGTACTTACCATGATGCCCAAAGAACTGCATCAGGCAGCAAAGTAGCTTGTCAAACAATCCCGAAACTCGCATTCCTAACGCTTCCTTTAATAGACGAATGAGCTTTATCACTTGGGGAGAAAGAGGCGTGACCATAACTGTAAAACATAAATTGGAAAAGATATTTCACACAGAGTACTTGACCCCTAAAATATATACTTGGAAATACAATGGGGGACCAGAAAGAGGAATTTTACATGAAAGGCATTCAGGGTAGCAGTAAGATACAGCTGGTGTTTTAGGAGGGTAGGCAGCAAGCTCTTTAGAGCAGGAGCCTGGAGTTTTTCTCTCTGCACCTGCACATTTATTGGCTTGAAAGTAACTGAAGAGCTGCTGCTGGGACTTATTCTTGTGAGGGGACCTCAGGAGCTTCCTGCAAGTGGGCTCCAGTCCAGGCAGGGTGAGCTCTCTGTTCACGTGGGATCTGAGACCAGCAACCATGCAAGGGGGTGAGAATGCTGCCACTGGTGACCAGTGTTCACCACCTGTCCCATCCCCCGGGTCCAAAGCAAGATGGAAGGGACAGTAAAATTCATGTACATAGCCCTGGGCATGAGTCTCAGCCCTGCCACTGAATGGGTCTACGGGACGACTGTTTTTGTTTTTTTTTTAAATAAATTTATTTATTTATTTTTGGCTGCGTTGGGTCTTTGTTGCTGCATGCGGGCTTTCTCCAGTTGCGACGAGTGGGGGCTACTCTTCATTGCGGTGCGCAGGCCCCTCTTGTTGCGGAGCACGGGCTCTAGGCGCGCGGGCTTCAGTAGTTGTGGCACACGGGCTCAGTAGTTGTGGCTCGCGGGCTCTAGAGCGCAGGCTCAGTAGTTGTGGCACATGGGCTCAGCTGTTCTAAGGCACGTGGGATCTTCGTGGACCAGGGCTCGAACCTATGTCGCCTGCGTTGGCAGGCGGATTCTTATCCACCGCGCCACCAGGGAAGCCCCTGGTGGTCTGGTTTTGAACATTCGGTGGGAGTTTAGTGCCATTAGAAGCTCCACAAACTGCTGTCGACCAGTAGCCGTCATGTGGCGTAGCGCAGGGTAACACATAAAGCCAGCGGAAGGTGGATCCTGCCTAAGAAGCTTCTGGCAGATAACAGATAAATACAGAGACCCATATACCTACAGGTATATAAACACTAGGGACTGAATGTATGAGTGCAAGTTTTATTTTGCTTCCTGGAGCATAGCTTATGCTAAGCAAATTACCCTGGGTCTTCTTTTGGTCTACTCCTGACCCTTGTACTTTACCCCTGACCTTATCAGTTTCGCCCCCTTAACCCCTAATTAATTGCCTTATACACACAACTCAAAAAAAAACCCTACGGGTTATACAGTCTTTCCTGCCTTCTAACTTATTTCTCTCTCCTCTCTTGGACCTTTTCAGCTCCAGGTGAAAAGGACTCTTGACCAATCTGAACTCCCAACAGTGTTTGCACAGAGCCTAACACACAGTAAGCACTCCTAAAATGTTTGTCAAATGAACCGCTTGACTTGGCTGTGTTTACATGACTTTGCATAACTGGGCGAGGGTCAGGCAGCTGGGACAGTGCCTATCACTGGCTTCCAGGTTTCGCTCACTCTTTGTTTGCTTTTAGAGGTTTTGTAGGTTTTCTCTTAGACACAAAAATATCATCTCTTCACTTCAAGGCGTCGTCGCCTGTACTTGGATGTGTGAATCTGGACGTGCACATGAACTTTGAGTTGTATTTTTCTACAGACCGTTTCTGCAAGTTTCCCTTTGCCAGAGATGGGGGAACAGCACATTTTCAGCTGCTTCATCTAGCACCGTAAGTATCAAAGGAAAAACGAAAGTGTTGAAATTAATTTCGTTAGAAGAGTGTAAAGGAAGGACCTGTGCGGTGTGGGCCACCCCGGGAGATGGGCACCACCGG